CCTCATATATTCATCTTTTCTTTGGTAAGAACATTTAAGTTCTAGTCTCAGAAAATTTCAATTATACAATTTCAATTATATCAACTATAGTCACCATGTTGTACATTAGATCCTCAGACCTTATTCATCTTATACTGAAAGATTTACCCTTTTACCAACCTCTCCCTATTTCCCCCAGCCCTGGCAACCACTTTTCTGCTGTTTCTATGAGTTTGACTTTTTTTCAGATTCCACATTTAAGTGAGATTGTGCAGTATTTGTCTTTCTGTGTCTGGCTTTTCTCACTTAGCATAATGACCTCAAGCTTCATCTGTTGTTGTTGCAAATGGCAGGATTTCCTTCATTCTCATGGTTGAATAATATTCCATTGTGTAAATATATATACCACACCTTCTTTATTCATTCATCTGTTGATGGACATTTAGGTTATTTCCATAGCTTGGCTATTGGAATAATGCTTTGATGAACATGGCAGTACAGACATATTTTCAATATCCTATAGATATATCCTTTTGATAAATAGAAGTAGGATTGCTGGATCATATAGCAGTTCTAGTTTTAATTTTTTAAGGAACCTCCATATTGTTTCCCAGAGTGGTGAAAGTGAAAACATTTGAAAGAGCCAACTCTTTAAAATTTTCATAGTCTTTTTGCCATATCCACCTGCATACACATTGCACATTGTTATCAAAAGTAATTCTTGTAATTTAAATACACTATTGAAACAATAGAAAGCAAAATACGCCATTCCCAGAGAGGTTGAAGAACATGGAGAAGGCTGTTGTCCACATCCGGCTGCTGGCAGGCCAGGAGTCCCCTGAGGCTATAGGTTGGTCTGGGGAAAAGCTTGTACATGAAAAGAAAATACTACCCAGAAACCCAAGTGCTATTTAACAAGGCAGTGGTTATTCCTGCATGGTGATATTCAGATGGTGCTAGGGCACTCAGAGTCCGTTCCTAGCTAAAAGCATTTTAGTTCATCTCATTTTACAGAGACTATGTTCCTAAGTTAATTTTTAAAAGACATTCAAAACCCCAAAGGCAATTGTTTCTGTTTAGACTTTTGCACAATAAAGAGGCGATGGAAATGTCATGTAAGAGCCTGAGAGTGGAAGTACTTAGCTGGACTTAAAATACACACACACACACAAATATATCTTTTAATATTGTTGTTTTGTTTTAACTGAAAAGCTGCTTCTTAGATTAAGAAATGGTTTTGCACAGAAAAGTCCGACACTTTTCTTCTCTCAAGATTCTCTCCCCGTACATACACTTTATTTCAGTCACTTGCTTTTTTTTCATTGAATATTTTAAACAAAGCCATGTTATACCTAGAGGTATCTAGGGGCATGACACTGTGGAAATTAATGAAAGAAACCCCAACTGAACTGCAGGGGGAGCTCTCACACCCCATCACACACCGTGAATTACTCCAACCAGGAAGTACAAGGCTTTACTGGGAAGGCAGATTTCTCTCCCCACCCAGCAATAGCCCAGCCACTGAGGAACGCTGCAGCTCAGCCACTGAGAGACGCCACAGCTCAGCCACTGAGGAAGCTGCAGCTCAGCCACTGGGAGACACTGCAGCTCAGCCAATGAGGAATGCCACAGCTCAACCACTGAGGAACGCTGCAGCTCAGCCACTGAGGAAGCTGCAGCTCAGCCACTGAGGAATGCCGCAGCTCAGCCACTGGGAGACACTGCAGCTCAGCCAATGAGGAATGCCACAGCTCAACCACTGAGGAAAGCTGCAGCTCAGCCACTGAGAGATGCCGCAGCTCAGCCACTGAGGAATGTCACAGCTGAGCCAATGAGAGATGCCACAGCTCAGCCAATGAGAAACGTCGCAGCTCAGCCAATGAGGAATGTCACAGCTCAGCCAATGAGAGACGTGGCAGCTCAGCCAATGAGAAGCTGTTGCCGCCTGAACTGTCAGTCTCCCCCCATGGACCTTCCTTTAGAGCAGCCCCTCCCTACTCCCCTTCCTGCTCTATAAAAGCAGCAGCTCCCCTGTCTGTTTTCCGGGTTTGCCTATGGTTTGCCATAGTGTGCACATCCTGAACTGCAATTCTTTTGGCTGTTCCCGAATAAACTTGTTTTGAGGGTAAAATAGCTGGCAAATTTGCTTTTTAAGTTGACAACATAAACTACTACAACTCTAAAATCACGCACCTATGGCACTAACAGTCAGAGAGAGCCTGCTCTGTGGGCCTCATGGCCCAGGTGTGCCTCCTTGCCTGTCCACTGCCTTAAGTGCTGTACAGCACCCCCAGCCCCCTGGCAGCGTTCCTGGGCCCCACTGAGGCTGGCACTCCTTTTGTGGTTTGTTGTCGTTATGTCGTTTCAGGCATTTTATCTGAACAGCACTGGACTGTAGAGAAAAGAAATAAAATACTCCAGGAGAATCACATCTGGAATAAAGGCCCTCTAGGATGCTATGGCTCTTTACTAGCTTCTTAACCTTTTCTCTGAATAAATAACAGATATAAAAAGGCACAGTTTTGAACCTGGAAGCAAACAGAAAGCCAATACAAGCTCGCTCCTTCCTGCCTGCCTCTTCACGCATGCTCTGGTTTGGTCGGCCTCCTCTGCTCGCTTTCGCCAGCATGCACATGCAACACACATCTCCTTTGGAAGAACCACCCCTTCTCGCCCCTGTTCAGATCTTAGCCATCTTTCCAAACTGCAACCTAAGTTCTGGCTCCTCCAGGAAGCCTTCCCTGATGAGGTGTGTGCCCACTTTAAAGCACAAATCCTGGAAAGAATTCCAAGAGTCCATTACGTTTAATTGCTCACGGGCACAGGTACCTCTTTGGCAGACTTCCAAACCGTGTTGCAGCATCTGCCTCGATGCCTTTCTAGGAGGTCCGCACTTGAAGGTCATGCCCTCCCCACCCCATGGCACTCTGGAGGCAGCTCCCTGGGAAGAGGGCAAGGCAGCCCCAAGGCTCTCAGTTCTGACTGGTAACATGCTGCTCCTGAAGGATTGCTTAAAGCCCAACCTGAGTGCCTCTGCTTTGCTGACCTTTAGACTGCAGAAACAGTAAAGCATTTTTATTTGTACTGTCTCTCTGGAAAAAAAGAGATCATCTTTCTGGCACTTGCTCTCATAAGAGTTGTCAAGTGGCAATCTCTGAAAACAAAAAAGAGGACACAAAAACCTTTCTGTTGAAGAATGCAAGCAGTGCTTTAATGGGTCCTTAGATTAAAGAGAGATGGGCTGCACCATTGGAGGCTGAAAACCATCAGTCATTCATTCAACACACACTTAGTGGGCACCTCCTGATGGCAGGTGGTGTAGACACAGCAGTGGATGAGACAGACTTGGTCCACTTCTCACTGCATGTGGGCTGACCCATGCCTCTCACCTGCTTGGCCTGAGGGCAAGTGGGAGCCTGAGGTGAAAGAATGAGGGAAATGAGAATCTTCTAACCAGTAATCCAGTAACACATCCTAACACCAGAGGCAAGCAGAGGGGGCTTGCCTGTCCTTAACAGTACTCAACTGGAATTTCCTCCAGGAGTAAAATACAAATCAAGGCTCCTCCAGGCTGTTCAGTGCTCCAGCGCCACCTTTTCTCCCTGTAAGTACGGTGACAGGGCAGTCTCCATTCAGACAGCCACCCTGTCTCTAGAGGAACCATTCCGGGGGCCGCAATCCACCCCTTGCTCAACAACTCCAGATGGGGCCATGTCGGCCCACGGCCACGCCAGGTATCTGGCCCTCAAGAGACATTTCACTTGGCTCCGGTACGTGTAGACAAAGAATAGGGGTGGCCAGGAGAAAAGCCTTCTGAGAAGCTCGCAGGCGAGCACAACCAGCCCCAGAGCGGGACAACACAGAGTGCTGAGAGGATGCAGAAGTGGGGCACGCACTTGTGCTGTCAGGGGAGGGGGCGCACTCTGGCACCATGAAGAGGAGCTTCTTGGAATGAACAAAGAGGGGGTGCAGTGAAGAAAGTCGTCCAAAAGAGGAACCACATGTGCAAAGGGGTAAAGACATGAGGATGCCTGACAAGTTCTGGGAGCTGCAAATACATGCGTATTACAAGAGCAGCAGGACACGGGGCTGGAGAAGTCAGAGGGCGGCATTACACAGGGTCAGGAGAGCCTGGCTCGTAGGGTCCCAACCTGGGGACGACGGGACCGGATCAGACGCTCACTCAGAAAGGCGCGGTTGTCAGTCATGTGGAGTTGGGACCGGGACAAGGCTGGCATCAGGGAGACAGTTCAAGGTCTTGCCTGCAAGTGGACCTAAGGAGAATACCAACCACACCAGTGACCCCAGAAAATCAAGAGTGATTTAGGAAATATTCAGGAGTGATTTGGTCATCAACTGATGAGGACAAGGGATACAGACCTCTTGGAATTTAGGGAAAAGAGCAGGACTAGAAATGCCTAGTAGGGAATGATTTGCACACAGTCGGGGGATGGCTGCACAGAAGTGAACAAATAAGCTGCCCAGGGAGCAGTGGAGAAGAGCATCAGAGTCCAGGAAGGCCGGCATCGACGGGATGGGTGGAAGGAATGCTTCCCCTAAAACTAAAGATATGGATCACACTAAACTCATTCTAACTACTAAATTTAATTTTCTTTGCTGAATTTGAAGATGCAAAAAATTAATTTTATTATTTTAAGACATTTGATTGTTATGCTACTTTGTTGGGATACAGCCCACAGTCCTTAGCAGAACAGTCAAAATGTCTAAGGATTTTGGAAATGGGCTCTTCTTGTGCCTATGTGAGTAGCACTACCTATATTTGATCAACTTATCAAGTAAAAGCTACTTACTATAGATTAAAGAGAACTAAAAAGGAAACCAAGGTCCACCTCTGATCAGGCACATTTCCAATAGTGTGAATGACCAGCCCCTAGGAATTGCCACCAAGGGGCTCCCCAACTGCCCTCTTGCCCAAGCCCCTAAGTGGCCAGTGGGACTGTGCCGCAGCCCACGGCTCAGGAGGAACAGGTTTCAAGGCCCCAGGGTTCGTGCCTTCTTACCTGTACACAATTCTTTCCCTCTGCAAGTCCTCCAAGCCACAGCACAGCTCTGCAGCGTAGAAAATAGCTCTCTGCTCATCAAAGCCGGGGTTTCCCAGGTTGTAAATGTGAAACTTCAAGTCCCCTCCGTTCATAATGGTTAGCACCAAGCACAAGGAATCTTTGGTTTCGTAAGTGTAGGATAAACTAACCTAAAGACAACAACATCATAAAAAACAAAACACAGAAACCTGCTCATTCAATGATCATTTACTCAATCTGCTAACAATATTCAAATAATCCACCTTAGATTTATCATTAGGACACCCAAATACCGTATGCTTCAGGGAAATGTATACCATGCGTCTGGTGCTTCTCGGATCTCTACCTATCAGAGATCTTCCAGCAACTCCATACTGAAAGGAGAGAACTTTCTGTGTCTACATGGGTAGGTGACAAAACTTCACAAAGACACTTGAGATCAAGATTCCTCAGCTTTGCTCTAATCATTAGCGCCGATATCCACACTTCCAGAACACCCACATCCAGCATACAAGTTAAGTGCGCCCCGCCTAGCAGTGCAGAGAGAGCTTGCTGCTGCACAGCCTCCCAACACTTTATGTTGTCAATCAACGCTGGTGGAGCTGTAGTGATCTCTTACTGAGGTTTAATGTGCATTTCTCTGTATGTGCAAATATATGGGACATTGCTCAGAGTTTGTCATATATTTATTACCCATTTGAAACCTCTTTGTGAAGTGCCTGTTCAAGTTTTTTTCCCACTTTTCTACTGGTTTGTATGTCAACTTACACACACACACACACACACACACACACACACCCAGCTGGGATTTTTATTAGGACTGCATTTAATTCATTTAATCTATGCATCAGTTTTGGGAGAAGTGACATCTTCACAGCATTGAGTCTTTGAATCTATGGACTCGGTACCCCTCCCTTTATTCAGGTCTTCTTTAATTGCTTGTAATAGCATTTCATAGTTCTCAGTGTAGAAATCTTACACATTTTCATTCGATTTTTGCCTAGATTTTGATGTTTCTTGATGCTATTGTAAATGGTATCAATTAAAAATTTTCATTTTCTAACTGTCTGTGGCTGGTATCATATCTAATAACTTGGCTAAATTCTCAATTAGGTATCTGGAAAGTCCTGGACTGTCTATCCACACAATCATGTTGTGGGCTAGGGTGGGCAGTGGGGATAAGGAAGGGGAGACGGACGTGACATAGGGACAGGGCAGGACCCACTGACCGACAGTAAGCAGGGAGGAAAAAACAGAATCAAGGATGAACAAAAATATTTCTAGGTTCCTTGGGAAAGGTAAAGAATATAGAAATCAACATATTTAAATAGAATAAACCATAATTACTATTTATGCCCCTTTCATAAAGCTAGATTGTGGGTTTCTATGTTTCAAGGTCGTTACACAAATATGTTTCAAGCAACTCCAAGATGAGCCCATTTTATTAAAGATTTTCAGGCAATGCACGTAAGACTGACACTGACATAAACTATTAAACTTAGACGGCGGCTGTGCAGACCACTGTTCTGGAACACCCGTGCCCCAGCACTGACCTCAGACTGAGAAATAAATAACTTGGAGGAAGTAACTCAAACACTACAAATCGTTTTATAAATCATGTAAATGTGAAATCCCCTCTGGGCCTTTCGCCTTTCACTCTCTCCCTTCAAGCAGAGCTTCACACTGCAGTAGATGCTACAGCAAAAAGGAACTACGTGGAGAGAAGCTGGGTCTGGCGAGGAAAACCACTCTACTTCATGCATAGCCTAGGGCCTGGAGTGGGTCCTGAGCTCATCCCAGATTCCCGGATGATCAATCCTCACCTGAAACAGTGAAGGTGCAATTTGAGATTCAAATATTGGGATATGCTAACTTAGGGCCAAGCAGTAAACTTGCTGGGTGTCAGAAAGAGGACAAAGAGGAAAACAGACTGAGGTCTGGGCGAGGAGACAGGCTCGGAGAGGGTCTTCAAGCCCATCAGCCAGAGGCCCCCGCCAGCCAGAGCCCTGGAGGCTGGCGGCAAACTGAACAATAAGCTCTGGCTGCCACCAGAGAGGACAGGACACCTGACCAGGCAACACCACAGGTGAAGGGGTGAAGAGTAACTGACAGACAAGGCGACGGTGGGCTGGGCGACGGTGGGCTGCAACAGATTTGTAACGAATCACAAGTTGGAAGCAGGATCACCATGTTTATGTTTGTGTCCAGTAAGAGTTGAAGAGGAAAGAAGATGGCTGTTACTGAAACAAAACTGTTTCCGGCACCCATCCCTGTTAACAGCACAAGACAGCAACCCCTCCCCGCACTAAACTAAGAAACTCACCAACTCCCAAATGCCACAGCGGGAACGGAGGTGAGCTTAGCAGCAGGTCTGCTGGGAAAGCGCTACAACCAGGCACTCTACGCACGGACCGGAAGAAGATACTTACTACAAACCTACTATGCACTTTTTCTAGGATTCTTTTTTCATTTAGAGCCATAGCTTCACCCTTCCTCTTCTTTATTCTCTTTTTTTCTAGCTTTTTACAGGCATACATTTTTCCTGTAGCTCGCACTTGACAGGCACAAACCTAGTTTCAAACAAAAGAAAAAAAGGTTTATGTATACCTGACATTTCTTAGGCTACAAAAAGAAACCTGTTTTCTCCACGATAATCCATCTAGTAAAGAGCAGCGAAGACTCTGATGGGCCAAGACCATTTCAGTCATGGACACCTCAGAGTCTGGCTCGGCTCTTTTCCCTCAGCTTCTTCCCCTCCAAAGGGAGCCCAGACAAACAAGTGAATACAGCATTGTGCTTTTTATCTAAGACAGCTGCGGGCAAATGGAGCCTGTTGTTCATACGTGATCATGGTGCATCTGTTTAATTTAAATAAGTCTTTTTACTTTTTGTACAAGATCAAAAGTTTTGAAACTAAGTAGATTCTGGATTTTTTTAAAAGTTCAATAATATAAGGAAATATATTTCATAGAACTCACAGACTATCATACTTTTATTCTACTTTGCTCTTAAAGGAATATTCATATATTGCTTAATTTTATATTATGAAAATTTTCACACATACAAAAGTGGAGAGAATAGTATAATGAGCCCCCAGGTACCAGTCCCCCAGCTTCTAGGCTATCAACGTATGGCTGTCTTATTCCCTCTGACTCCACTCTATATCACAGACACAGATACACATACCCCCATACCACACACCCAGCCCACAAACACATATACACACACACACACACACATTCCACACACATCCTACACACAGCTACTGCACACCACAGACACAGACACATACAACACACACACATCGCACACCCACCTACTCTGCAACCACAGACATATATACCACATACACACACACAGAGGATTACTTTAAAAGCAAATATAAGACATGATATAATTTTATCTATCAATAAAATAATTTTGATGGCAAAATATAAAGTTCATTGTGGGAACTATTGAAAGTATTAATAAAGACAATGATAAAACTTACCTGATAACTATCATTAATATTTGGCTGCACAGGCTTATAAGTCCCCTTCGTACATGCACATTCAAGAATATATGCCTTGTTACACCCCCAAACCCCTGGCCTTTAGGGAAAAATTGTGCTTATATTATAGAATAGATAATATTTTATAATCTCCTCTTTCTCATTTTATAGTGCGGATATTTTCTCATCATTAAACATTCTCCCAATATATGACTACTCCACAATTTATTTAATCATTTTCCTACTAAGTCTTGGCACATAAATCTTTGCAATATCTTTTTATCACTAACTTAGGATAAATTCTCTTAAGTGGAACTGCCAAATCAAAGGACTGAAGGGAGAAGCGGTAAGGGCGTCAGGCATCGCATTATCAGCTGGATACAAATACTCCTTTGCTCTTCACCACAACCCACTGAAGCAGGGCTTATCACCCCCTCTGAAGGATGAGATCAAGATGGTGAACCCAAGATCACACAGCTGGAGGGGAGGGAAGAGGAACTTGACCTTAGGTCTGCCCAACTCTTAAGTTTATGCTCTTTCCACTCCACTTTGCTGCCCCTACAGCCACACAAGCAGAGACGTCTACCCAACTCCCTTCCCAGTGCGCTTGCCTTGGGACCCTCCAAATCTATTTTGGAGGATGTAAAGCATAAGCGAAAGCATTATTGTTGACAAAATAAGACCAAAATGTTTGTCTTTTCAAATCTACTAGAAGAGGTGTTAGCATTTGGAAAAAGTAAATGCACTATTGGAATTTGGATTTAAAAGGCACCGAGGCTGTCTGCATTAGGGTCACAGGGCTCTTTCTGAGAGGCATTCAGAATAGAAATGGATTATTCACTCCCCTCTGGCCCTTGATGTAGTGTATAGCACATCGAGAACAAGTCTGTGAAAAACCACAACAATTTATTCATCCGTACAATCATTTGTTTGGAAACACAAGTATATGTGTTTAAAAGTAATTTGCAGTCCATCACCAAAAAGACAAGCAATGACAAATGCTGGTGTGGGTGTGGAGAAAAGAGAACCCTTGTGCACTGTTGGTGGGACTGTAAATGGTGCAGCCACTATGAAAAACAGTATGGAGGATCCTCAAAAAATTCAAAATAGAACTGCCATATGATCCAACAATTCCAATTCTGGGAATACATCCAAAGAAAATGCAAAGGGTAATTCAAAAAGACATCTGCATCCCCATGTTCACAGTAGCATTATTTGCAATAGCCAAGACATAGAAACAACTTAAGTGTCCAACAATGGATGAAGGGATAAAGATGTGGTATATCGATAGATAGATAGATAGACAGATAGATAGATAGATAGATATAGACTAAGGAATATGATTCAGCCATGAGAGAGAAGAAAATCCTGCCATTTGTGACAACATGGATGGACTTTGAGGGCATTATGCTAACTGAAATAAGTTAGACAGAGAAAGACAAAGACTGTATGATCTCACTTGTATGTGAAATCTAAAAACAACAACAACAACAACAAACTCACAGAAAAGAGATCAGACTTGTGGTCACCAGAGGTGGAGGGTGGCAGGAGGGAGAAATGGGTAGAACGGGTCAAAAGGTACAAACTTCCACTTACAAGATAAATAAGTACTAGAGATGGAATGTACAACATGATGACCATAGCTAACACTGATGTATGATATACAGGAAAGTTGTTAAGAGAGTAAATCCTAAGAGTTCTCATCACAAGGAGAAAGTTTTTTCCCTTTTTTCTTTTTTTTTCTTTTTATTGCATCCATATGAGATGATGGATGTTAGCTGAACCTATTCTAGTATTCATTTCAAAATATATGTAAATCAAACCATCATGCTGTATGCCTTACTTATAGAGTGATATATGTCAATTTTTCTCAATAAAACTGGAAAAAAGAGTAATATATAAAATCATAAATATACCAAGTCTTTCACAACAGTTAAAATTTGCTAACCTGTTCCTACTGAGTCCATTTTTAAAACTTATATGTGGCTGTAACTAGAACTTCATTCCTTTGTCAGCACAAGACCCATGTGCTTAAAACTTCTCTTGTTCTCTTCTTTGACAAAATCTGAGTTTTGTACTTGGAGGTCAAGAAAGGCAGAACAGCATGAATTGCAGAGAGCAAATGACCTTCTTGCTCTAGGAGGTGTTCAAATAGAGGATGGATTTCTTACAGAAATATCTGTTATGAAGTGGGTACAACAAGCTTTGGTTGGATTACACAAAGTATTCTAAACGGTCTCCAGAATTGTATCAGAGGTCCGACACTGCCGATTCTCCTAAGGTAACCGCTATGTGGACCGCTTCTTACCGTGTCAAACTCAGATGATAGCAGACCTCCCTTGCAGTGTGCCAGCTCTTGGGCCAGCTTTCTAATTCACGGTAAGGGGATTCTGGTAGCCATGGCTTTGGCTGTCACCAGGATTTGAGAGCACGTATGATTTAAATCGTGTGCAGTGTAACCCACTTTTGCCTAAGCACACAGTTTCAGTTCTCCTGCGACTCCCCGGCTCTGGGGACTTACACATGCTTGAACTAGATATGATCACTCCAGATAATTAATGAGGCAATTAACATCTCTTTCAGTCACCTAAACAGAACTGCATGCGACTCTCTGTCCACCTACCACAGAGGTCTCTATCTACGAAAGCCATCACATTTAAAGACCATTTCTGATGGATTTGTGGGTAGCTCCCTTAGAATTTCCCCAAATTTACACATTTTCCAACACCTTTTGATGTAGGTGTGAGGTTCATATATGTCCAAACAGAGTTGAGTTAAACAAGAATATTTAATAATATACTCTGCATATGAGGAATTTAAACATGTGGACAAAGAGAACAGATTAGTGGCTACCAGGGGAAAAGTGGGGTGGGGGGTGGGCACAAAGGGTGAAGGGGTGCACCTACAACACGACAGACAATAATGTACAACTGAAATTTCACAAGATTGTAACCTATCATTAACTCAATAAAAGATAAAAAATAATAATAATAATAATAATAATAATATACTCTGAACTATGTGAACTTTTAGGCTGGTACTAAATTATGGAAGTAGAGGAACAGAAACTCCACAATATAAAAACAGAATAATCTTTTAAGTCAGGACAAACTGACTGAGCTTGAACATTGAGCATGGGAAAATAAAACTTCTTTAAGAAATATGAAGTGAAAGGTAAAATCACAAGATAGTTAAATTTTTTTTTCTGGCTCTCTCAACTTTTTAAAAAGCTTGTAGCAAAGTACCTTTGGCTCAAAATTCAATCTTAATTCTCATGGTTGGCTAAAATAATTCACAAAATACACAATAAGGAAATAAATTTATTGGTAAAGTTGATATGTTACCTGAAGATAATTTCTTTCAATTACCTTGCTATCTATTTCTCTGGAAGCACTACTCACGCTGGGTCACACATTACTTACCTCTCCAAATCCACCTTTTCCTAGAACTCTGTAATGTCTAAATGTGTTCTTTGTCACTGGTTGCCTGATTAATTAAGAAAAAAAAAGGTTCAGGTCTCATATCACATTGTTATTTTAAAACAAAAGGGCTACCCAGCTCTTGTCTTAGCCTTATTCATGGAAACGCTTTACTCAACGGGCGTGCCCCGGACAAAGGCAACTGTGGCTCCCTCTAGTGGGACAGCTCTCAATCGCACTAAGAGAAATAAGCACATGTTGACATTTAAGATTTATTGAAAACACTGAGGACAGATGCAGAACGGTCAGATTATCCTTACTAGCTAAAGACAGGTCTGTAACAAGCCCCTGCAATGAGATACTTATGTATTCTTAGGAATACTTCTTTGGGCCTGTCAGACAGCTGTTAAGGAAAATGACATATCCACAGCATGCTGTCCTCAAAAAAAGAGCCTCAAAGGAGATGTTTAACATGTACCCAATGTCTCAAAAGAAACATGTATGAACTAGAACTGGAAATTTAATCAATCAATAATAAGCGACATAATAATAATACCACCACCACCACTAGTGGCAGCTAACACTTTTTTGGCCATGCACTTGATTTTGCACAGCAAGCACTGTGCTAAGCATTCTACACACATTTCTCAGGTAGCCTCAGCAGTCCCTAGGGTGGATTTTATAATCACCCCTATTTTACAGAACAAGGACCTGAAGCTCACAGAGGCTGAGTCACCAGCCTGAGGCCACACAGCTAGTACTAGGCTAAGCAGGGCTAAGACTGCAAAGACTCAACCACTGCATTGGATTGTATTTTTGTGTATCTAGGATGTGTTATTTTCTAACTACTGCACCAACAGGGCTAACTGACATTTTAGGAAGAGAGAACAGAGTCAACTGAGTCAGAAGAAACTGCATAATACATATTAATAACTTCTGTACAAAAATACTACATATGACCCGACTTCCAACTGTATTTTGACAGATGAAAAAGCATACATCAATCAGCATGCTGATTATGAGAAGTTACTACTTGTTTTTATTGAATTTTAAATTAGAACATACCTTTCCAGCCATTTCCACTGTAAAAATTGAGAAAAATATGAGCTTTCTTGGTATTCTTCAAATGGTTCTCCACTTAAATAGTTTTGGACAATTCTAGAAAAAGATTTTATGCAATTATACAATTTTGTCACATTATAATATGCAAACAACTGTGTTTTACTGCATGATATGGGAAGTCCATCATTATGCACAATTCAATATATTGTATTTTGCAATTATAGAATTCTACACTGGTTTCTAATGCTATCAGTGAAAAACATAAGGGCAAGAATTCAAAAGATATGAAAGTGATTTACCCTCCCAAAGCCAGAGGTTCTTTTTACATATATGGACTTCAGAGAAATAATAACTTGATTAAAAAAAAATCTACCAGTAGAAAGACAATAGTTTAAAACGTATTCAAGGTGTGTGTGTGTGCATTTCAGGAGGGAATGTAAACATTTTGTAAATAAAATCAAATTTCTAAATGATCATAGTCATATGGTAGAAAATGTTAATATGTGACACAATTTTTTTTAATGTTAAAAAAAATTTATTGGGTGCTTTATTTTCAAAGATTGGCACCTAAGCTAACATCTGCTGCCAATCTTCTTCCTCTCCTTTTTTTTTTTTACTTCTTCTTCTCTCCAAAGACCCCCTGGTACATAGTTGTATATTCTAGTTGTAGGTCCTTCTGGTTGTGGCATGTGGGACACCACCTCAGTGTGGCCTGATGAGCAGTGCCAGGTCCACGCCCAGGGTCCAAACCAGTGAAATCCTGGGCCACCAAAGTGGAGAGCACAAATTTAACCACTCGGCCATGGGGCCAGCCCCCTCATAAATTATTTTATGCTATATATTTCTTGAATAAATTTTATATAATTATCCATGTCTCTTAGGTTTTATTTATAATTTTATTATAGAAGTAAAAACACCTCATTACTCAATAAACAACTACTGAGTAAACGACAAGCACTGTGCTGGATGCTGGGGGAAAAATTAGTCCTGTCTTGATGAATCCAACAGCTCAGTCAAGGAGCTGGTAAGATTGTGCACAAGTGTGAGGAGTGCCACCAGAGGAATCATGGCTGGACCTGGTGTGCTTCAGAACACCCACCTGGAAAAGGAGGCATGAGGGAGACTTTCTGAAGAAAGTGATGGCTGAGCTGAAGGAGAAGTCACTGAGATGAAGAAGGAAAGAAAGGGTGTCCGGAGCATAGCAAGAGTCAAATGGGAAGGAGCATAGTTTACATGGGGAATTGCTAGTAGGTTGGTAACTGAAGAGGCATTAGGAACGATCTCATTTTCACTGATTTTTAGAATTCTGAGCAAGTCACTTGATTTGTTCCACTTTATTTTGTAAAAAGAGGTTATTCATATGTTCTTGGATTGACTAATGTTATAGCACAGTCATTCTCAAAATGTATCCTGAGGATCCCTCTGGGTTCCCAGACCCCCCTCAGGGGGTGTTCAATAATGAAACTATATTTATAATAGTACTAAGATGTTATGTGCCTTTTAAAACCCTCATTCTCACAGAGGGAGTCTTCAGAATCCACAAGACATGTGACAACTTCCTGCTCTGATGGAGAGTGAAATGTTTGTGTCTTCTTATTTTTTAAAAACATAATACATGGGGGTTACATCAGAGCCATGGCAGAGTGAGCTTGCCTGGGACTCTCTCCCCTCCAACATACAACAAAAAAAGAGCAACCATATTCCAACAAAAAAGTATCATAATAGCGCAGAAATCCTCAGAGACCCACAGCAGCAAAATGACAGAGGGCGCAGAGAGGCTGGAGCCACCCTTGGAGGAGCTGGAACAGGGTAGGAGAGAACTTAGCTCCTCCCCTAGAGACTGGGATCGCTCCTATGGGCCGGGAAGGAGAAGGGGAGGGGCTGCGTGTCCGGGGATCATCCAGGACTCCCAGGCCGTGCAGCCCAGAGGGAAGCCCTCTAACAGGGGAAAGCTTTCACCGGGTGACCTCAGCAAGCCAACATCCCAGGAGAGGAGACAGCGAGAGCTGATTGAAAACCAAGTCTGTGCGTGAGAGAAGGGGCCCCTCTTCCCCCAACCCGCACTGCACGCCGCCATGGCAGCTGAAAGCGGAGGGCTCTCCGTATGTGGCTCTGGACCCCCATCTAGTGGCGACAGGCCGTAACTGCAACCGAATAATAGCATTATGCGCAAAAACCACTATTCATAAAAACTCCAGATCAGAGGGAAAATAAGAACCCAGAATTATGCTGTGAGGACTCAGAAATAAGTAAACTAAACGAAAATTAATTCAGAATAGCTATAGACAAAAAATTCAATGAGGTAAAGGAAAATATAGAGAAACAAGTCAACGAGTTCTGGAGTTAATTCACAAAAGAGATTGAAACTATAAAGAAGAATCAATCAGAAATACTAGAGATGAAAAATACAATGGATCAGATAAAACAGGATACGGATTCCCTGAGTGCCCATGTGTATGCCATAGAGGAGCAAATCAGCATAATCGAACATAGACAGGATGAATGGCTCCAGACAGAGGAAAGGAGAGAATTAAGAATAAAAAGGAATGAAGAAAATCTCCGAGAAATAGCCGACTCAATGAGGAAATGCAATATAAGAATAATTGGAATCCCCAAGGGCAATGAAAAGGAGAATGGAGCAGAAAGTGTGCTCAAAGGAATAATAAGACAGAACTTCCCAAATCTAGAGAATAGGAGAGAAATATGTGTGGAATAAGCTTTCAGGTATGTCAGGAGGAAGCTTACTAGATATGTCAATGTAAAAAGACCTACTGCAAGGCATATAGTAGTAAAACTGGCAAAGGTGAATGACAAAGAAAGAATACTCAGGGAAGAAAATAACCTACAAAGGAACCCCATCAGACTTTCAGCAGATTTCTCTACAGAAACCTTACAAGGTAGGAGAGATTGGAGTGACGTATTCAAAACTTTAAAGGATAAAAATCTTCAGCCAAGAATACTCTATCCAGCAAAAATATCCTTCAGATATGAGGGAGAAATTAAATCTTTTCCAGACAAACAAAAGTAAGGGACTTCATAGCCACAAGACCTCCACTACAAGAAATCCTCAAGAAGGCCCTCATATCTGAAAAAAAAAAAAAAAGGGAGTAAGGGGTCACAAAACATAGAGCAGGGAGACAAATAGAGAGAATCTGAATAGGATAGCAAATATTCAACTATAGCATTAGGATAAAGGGAAGTAAATCACCAAAGCAAAGACAATCTTATCACTCTAACCACAAACTCACAACACAAGTTGGAATAAGAGATGAAAATAATAATTTAGGAGGGGAGGAGGAAAGGGACTGAAACAGTCTAGGCTAAGGAAGTAAGAGACCGCCAGAAAATGGACCATGTTATACACAGGATTCTGAGTACAAACTTCAGGGTAGCCACTAAACTAAAAAACAGAACAGAGACACAAAACATAAATAAAGAAAAATCTAAGAAACCTAGCATAAGAAATTGCAGAAGTCAATGGGTAGGCTAAAACACACATGACAAGAAACAAAGGAAACACAGGAAAACCGGAAAACAAGCAACAGAATGACAGCATTAAGCCCTCATGCATCAACACTCACCCTCAATGTAAATGGACTGAACTCTCCAATAAAAAGACACAGGGTGGCAAAATGGATTAAAGAACAAGATGCAACAATTTGTTGCCTCCAGGAAACACACCTCAGCTCCAAGGAGAAACACAGGCTCAGAGTGAAGGGGTGGAAGACAATACTCCAAGCTAATAGCAAATAAAAGAAAGCAGGTGTCGCAATAATTATATCAGACAAAACAGACTTCAAGATAAGGCAGGTAAAGAGAGACATAGAGGGCCAATATATAATGATCAAAGGGACACTTCATCAAGAAGAGATAACGCTTATAAATATCTATGCACAGGAGCACCAAAGTTCATAAAGCAACTATTAACAAACCTAAAAGAAGATATCAAAAATAACACAATAATAGTAGGGGACCTCAACACCCCACTCACATCAATGGACAGATCATCCACACAGAAAACCAACAAGGAAACAGTGGAGCTAAATGCAAAGCTAAAACATTTGGACTTAATAGACATATATAGAACACTCCATCCAAAAACAGCAGAATACACGTTCTTCTCAAGCACACATGGAACATTCTCCAGGATAGACCATATGTTGGGAAACAAGGCAAGCCTCTAAATATTTAAAAAAATTGAAATAATAACAAGCATCTTCTCCAATCATAAGGCTATAAAGCTAGAAATTAATTACAAAAGAAAAGCTGAGAAAGGCACAAGGATGTGGAGACTAAACAATATGCTATTGAACAAGCAATGAATCATTGAAGAAATTAAAGAAGAAATCAAAAATACGTGGAGACAAATGAAAAGGATAACATGCCATACCAACTCATATGGGATACAGCAAAAGCTGTATTATGAGGAAAATTCATTGCAATACAGGCACATCTTAACAAACAAGAAAAACCCCAAATAAGCAATCTTAAACTACACCTAACTGAACTAGAAAAAGAAGAACAATCAAAGCCCAAAGTCAGCAGAAGGAGAGAAATAATACAAATCAGAGCAGAAATAAATGCTATTGAAACAAAAAGGGCAGTAGAAAGGATCAATGAAACAAGGAGCTGGTTCTTTGAAAAGATAAATAAAATTGACAAACCCCTAGCCAGTCTTACAAAGAAAAAAAGAGAGAAAGCTCAGATAAGTAAAATTAGAAATGAAAGAGGAGAAATAACAACAGACTCCGCAGAAATACAACAGATTATAAGAGAATACTACGAAAAACCATATGCCAGCAAAATGGATAACCTAGAGGAAATGGACAAATTCTTGGACTCCTACAATCTCCCAAAGCTTAGTCAAGAAGAAGCAGACAATCTGAACAGACCAATCACAAGGAAAGAGATTGAAACAGCCATCAAAAGCCTCCCAAAGAACAAAACCCCAGGACCAGATGGCTTTCCTGGGGAATTCTATCAAACTTTCAGAGAGGATTTAATACCTATCCTTTTCAAGCTATTCCAATAAATTAGGGAGGATGGAACACTTCCTAACACATTCTATGAGGCCAACATCACGCTGATACCAAAGC